CCTGTCGGCGAGCCAAAACCAGTGGTGTAGCGGATGGGCACGCACCGCGGGGGGGGCCCTACGTGATTAGGGGGCCCTGCGTCGTTGCGATTTTTAATAATTGAAAATCCAGCAACCGCAATAATCAAACTCTTGGGAACAACTGTGGTCGGAACCAAAGTTCACAGGTCTGTGTTTTAAGCGGTGGACTACTTCATTCTGATTCTCAGTTTGTGAAGGCTTCCACGCGTTGTCACTCCACCCTGCCTCCCTTCCCCGCTCCTTAATTTGTGATCACTTCCCCGTGTTGTCACACCCCCCAATCATCAGGGGGCCCGTCAGTGATCCCTGCAGGGAGGCCTCCGCATTTTGCGCCACTGGCCAAAATCGGGGATAAAATCATGCAGTCTGAACCAGGCATAAGGCGACAGTGCTAACCACTGCGCCACCGTGACGCCAACATTTTAATCTTGTACAGCAGTAACATCACATTTATTTTCTTTGTTCAGTTCAGTTGATGAATCAATAACTCAAAGAAAGTCATGTTTATTGCTAGCTGTGTCATTTCTGAGGAATTATTCAGTGACACAGTTTTGATGGCTTATTGTCGCCACCTATTGGTTAAACTATGTCATTGCTACAACTTTTATTTTAAGCATGAAGTTGCGTTAAACAGTGATTTTAATCTTTACCATAAACTATAGAAATCAGTCCAATGAAACGTGTTGATTTATTCCTCATGCACCAGCGGGCGCAGCCATCGGAATCTTGTTAGCTGGAGACTTCCACTCTCATTCACTTGTATAGATTTTTAGATTTTAATTCCTGCTGCTTGATGTTTAGTCATGAACACGCTCATCTGTTGAGCAAGTAGTTTGATCGATTAATATTCCGAGTCTTTCCTTCTATTGGAAACTGAATCGGAAGTTCTGAAACAATCGCACACTTCCTCACTGCGGAATAAGGTCAATAACACAGAATCTATAGTGAAACCAGTCCATCCTGTAATCTCGTCCATTCTCGCAGGTGGACTTCCTGTTGCGCTCCTGCAGTGACTTCCTGCTGGAGTCTCTGGATGTGTCCAACTGTCTGCATCTGCTGGAGCTGGCGGAGGGATACGGTTCGACACAGCTGCTGCGCGGCGCCATCGACTTCATCACGCAGAACTTCCAGACGGTATCCTGCAGCGTGGAGTTCCTGGAGCTGCCGTCGCCGGTTCTGGAGCGCGTCCTGCTGTCTGACGAGCTCCGCGTTCCTGATGAAGAAACCGTCCTGCAGGCGCTGCTCTGCTGGGTGAAACATGACCCGTCGACGCGCACTAGCCTGATGCAGCAGCTGCTAGCATGCGTCCGACTGCACCACATTCCCATTGCCACGCTGGAGAACGCAGCACAAAGCGACATGCTAACCGACGAATGCAGGAACATGCTAACACATGCGCTAGCACAAACACAGCAGTTCAGCGGGTTATTCACAGATGCTCGCGTGTCAACGACATCCACGTATATATTCGTCCACAAAACTGAAGAAAGCATGCGTCACACGTTCTGCTATGAGATTGTGTCAGACCGCTGGACGCCGCTTCCAGAGGACGCCATGCGGATTTTAGAGCTACCGGGATCAGTTATGACTAGCTTTGCAGAGAAACTCTTCATAAGTGGTGGATGTCACAGCGATTGTCCGAGATCTATTCGCACGCACATTTCATCGCCTCATCACGAAGCTACGGACGAATTTTGGTGCTACTGTCCGATTGCGCACAGCTTTACGCCAGCGCCGCGCATGCGCCACACTCGCACCATGCACACATGCGTCGTCGCTCTTCAACGCTTGTACGTAATCGGAGGAAAACCGCGCAGCTCACGGAATGTTCCGAGCATTGTGGATGTGGACTATTACGATCCTTTGATGCGCGAGTGGATTTCCGTTAGCCCTCTTCCTAAAGGAATATATTTTCCGGAAGCAAGTGTGTGTGGAAACGTTATTTACGCTCTCGGATCTGAGGTGGAGTTTTCTGACGCATTTAATCCTTTGTTGGATTGTTTTTTCCGTTATGATGCAGTTGCGGATCAGTGGAGCCACCTAGTGGCGGAATTTGGTCAATTCTTCCACGCGAGGCTTGTGAAATCGGTGTGTGTTAATGAAACGCTGTACCTCTGCGATTTATCAACCTATAAGGTGTACAGCTTCTGTGCGGATGAGGGCGTGTGGAAGGGCGAGGGCTCGTTCGAGTGTGCGGGGTTTAACGCAGCTGCGGTCGGCGTCCGGGGGAAGATCTTTATTCTGGGTGGAGATTATTCTCCGGACGAGATCTCGGATGAGGTGCAGGTTTATGATAGTAGTCGCTCTGAATGGCAGGAGGTTTCTCCGATGCCGCGAGCTCTGACTGAGTTTCACTGTCAGGTGCTGAACTTCAGCCGCTATCGAGACCCCTGGCACTCATCAGCCACAGGGGGCGCTGAAGAGTAAAGGCCTGTTCAAACAAAGCATGATAAAGGTAAATATAAGTATTAGGGGTGTGAATTTGCACTGGATATACACTGGTTATGATTATTGCCAGACGGAATCTGCGGATGTTTTTTGCTATTTTTGCTGAGAATTTTGGTAAAAATCTGCGGATTTCTGTGGAATTATTTTGGGAGTATCATAACTAAAACCTTAATATTCATTCATTTATTCATTTTCTTGTCGGCTTAGTCTCTTTATTAATCTGGAGTCACCACAGCGGAATGAACCGCCAACTTATCCAGCAAGTTTTTTACGCAGCGGATGCCCTTCCAGCCGCAACCCATCTCTAGGAGAGATCCACACACACATTCACATACACACTCATACACTACAGACAATTTAGCCTACCCAATTCACCTATACCGCATGTGTTTGGACTGTGGGGGAAACCAGAGCACCCGGAGGAAACCCAGGCAAAGGCAGGGAGAACATGCAAACTCCACACAGAAACGCCAACTGAGCCTAGGTTCGAACCAGCGACCTTCTTGCTGTGAGGCGACAGCACTACCCACTGCGCCACTGCCTCGCCCCTAAAACGTTAATATGTGAAATAAAAAATATTGTATTTTTAACTTTTATTTAATGTTTAAAATGCAAATCCAATTAGATTCACTTTATTTGGTAAGCAAAGCAAGTCTCTCATATGAAATAGCTACTAAAAAACAGATAATATTACTATACAAACTGAATTGTAAATAAATTATGTTTACATTTTCGCAATAGTCAATAATATTACTGGTATTAGTTTAAAAACTGAATAAATATAAATTTACACACATTTATTCAAGTTAATAAACAGAATTAATGATGGGCTAAAAGTCTGCGTAATTCTGCTGGAAATCTTTTCTTCGCGTGCAGATTCTGTGTGGGCCTTGTTATGATTATCATGTCATCGATTCTGTTCAATGCGGTATCACAGTGCACTGACGATGCTTTTTCATACACATTTTGTAATTTTGCTTCACAACACAAGAATACGAGTTTGTCGTTTAATTAGTGCCGAGCAAACATTAATCACATTCATATTAAAAGCTTGCTTTGACATGATTTTAGTGTGCGTACTGTGTATATTTACTATGTATATAAAAATACACGCATGCATGCATATATTTGAGAAAATGTTTATTTATATTTAGCTTTAAAAAATATGTATGTGATACTAACTGTATATACATTCAAATATATGTAACAAAATTGTTGCGTATAGCTTTGTTTCTATCGCATATGCATAATAAATATATTTAGTAAACATACATACATACAGTACTTACATTGTCGAAACAAACTTTTATTTTGTGTGCAGTTAATCACGATTAATCTTCGCCTGCACTACTTTTAATGTAAGCAGTCAGACATAAGAACTGTACCTGTAATGTTTCCTGCTCAAAGAAAACAGGCTTCTTACATCTTAAACAAAAGTCAAGTCAAGACGACAGGAGCATGTAGAGCAAATACACAAATATAAACAATAATAACACTATGAATAATCATTTCAGCACTGTCAAGGGAGTTCTTAAACACCTGTGATTGGTCATTGGTGTTTGCACGCTCAACAGAACAGGCTGTGATTGGCTGTAACAGTCAGCGCTGTTCATCAAGCAGCTGTACGCTGAAGAGCAGCCACTGCAACGCTGTTCGATGCTAGAGAGAACTCGTTCTGTAGATATGCTCATGTCTGCGTTTTAATTACTCGTTGTTGCCGCCCTCGCCAAAGTAAGCAATCACGACATGGTACATAAGAGATAAATGAGCTCAACACCGGTTAAGATCTATTACTAAACTGATACTGAATCATCTCCTGGTGCATTGAAAATACAATAGTTTTGACACCCCTAATAAATATACCTGCCTCTACACTGACAAATCATGACAGTCAGTTTATTTTTAAGAGTTTGCTTTTCGTTCAGCGTTAACCCCTTGTGACCAGCAGGCATCTTCAGTGTGCTGCTAGTGCATCTGACCAGTGAATCCAGCTCGTGTAATCCATCTGAATTTCGTAATCATAGTCAGTGCAGTGGAATAAAAACAAAAAGGATCCTCTGTATCTTTATCGTTGTAGTTGCGGTGTGAACCATAATATTCTTTAACACTGTGGACAATCTTTAGAACCATATATTCATCGATATCTTCATGCTTGGTATGAACGCGGCAAGGCAAGTTTATTTCATACAGAGTGGCGATTCAAAGTGCTTTACATAAACAAGATTAAAAGAGACAGGGATAAGATGTTTCAGTGAAACGTTAAAAGAAAAACAATCAATAGTTATTCACTAACGCTCTGTCCGATTTGACCAGTGAGGAACAGTGACTGAGAAGGTTCTGGAAAGTGACTTATAGCCTCTCTGCGATGGAACCGCAAGGCAGCGCTCACTAAAGTAGACCTTCACTCTATAAATGTGTTGATGAGGTGATCAGTGAGTTCTGATCGGTATTAGTCATTTCCGATTGAAATTCGGCATTGTTGGAATGTGTATTTGTGTAAGTGCATGCTGTAAAACACAACCACATGCCGGTGCATTGCCAAAGAGTTTATTGATGCAAATAAATCTGTCCTAAATCAGGACATCTGGACTCTTTTGTCTGGCAGGATGAGTGTTTGACCTTCAGATCATTATGACCACAATCCATGAACACAAACTGTTGGATCATCTGGACTGTGAGCTCCTGCAAGACCGTCCTCACAGATGAAGATGATGATGAAGATGCAGGCTCTTCTCTCCCTCATGAGTCCTGATACTGCTTGACCAGTAACCACATCAGCAGAACGGTGATCAGAACAATCATGAAGTTCAGGAAGAGCTCCTGTGTGGATCGCTCCATCATGCAGACACACAGCAGCTGGAGCACGAGATCAACCTTCAGGGACACAGACACACACACACACACACATACACACACGCAGAGAGAGAGGGATAGAGATGGAAAAATAGAGCAGTATGTCGGCCACTAGGAAATTAAGCCGATCATCTGTCTGTTCTAGGCTTGAGTTTCAAACACAATTCCATCATCAGGTTAGCTATTGTCACACACACACACACACACACATACAGAACTCACACATTCACACACACACACACACACGAAAAAAACAATAGTAATTTATTGTAAATACTGTTGTGCTTTTAGAATATATTATAGTCAAGTCTATTAGACTGTTTATATTATAGTACTGTATCGACAATGCTTTAACTCATTCACCAGCATACTGTAGTATTAACTATAATGAAACTGTAATAAGTACTGTAGTTTACCTTAGTTTTTACTACAGTAAACTGGTATGTTGTAGTATAGTGTACTCTATAGTTGTAGAAATCTACTTGTACACAAAAGGTAATCATTTGTTTACATTGCTATAGTTGTTGTGTTACCATAGCAACTGTAAAAATCCCCACAACAGATTTGCTACTATAGCTGTTGTGTTACCATAGCAACTATAGAATCACCTCAACAGATTTGTTACTATAGCTGTTGTGTTACCATAGCAACTATAGAATCACCACAACAGATTCGTTACTATAGTTGTTTTGTTACCATAGCAACTATAGAATCACCACAACAGATTCATTACTGTAGTTGTTGTGTTACCATAGAAACTATAGAATCACCTCAAAAGATTTGTTACTATAGGTGTAGTGTTACCATAGCAACTATAGAATCATCACAACAGATTTGTTACTATAGTTGCTGTTACCATAGCAACTGTAGAATCATCACGACAGATTTGTTACTAGTCTTGTTGTTACCATAGCAACTATAGAGTCACCACAATAGATTTGTTATTATTGTTGTTGTGTTACCATAGCAACTGTAGAATCACAACAACAGATTTGTTACTATAGTTGATGTGCTACCATATCAACTGTAGCATCACCACAACAGATTTGTAACTATAGTTGTATTACCATAGCAACTGTAGAATCATCATGACAGATTTGTTACTATAGCTGTTGTGTTACCATAGCAACTGTAGAATCACCATAACAGATTTGTTACTATAGTTGTGTTATCAAAGCAACTGTACAATCACCACAAGTATTATACTTTACTGTTTACAATAGCACAGTTCAAAAACTATAGTAATTACTATGGTATTCATTAATTTGGTAGTTTTTTCCTATTTAAACTCATCTCCAAATGATTTAAAAACTTCAACACTAAATCAAACTAAGCACACTTGTTCATAAAGAGCATTCTAAACATGTTTGATCAAAGAAAGAGTGTTTTGTGTGATGTGATGTATTGATTCGTTCAGGTGAGTCGTCTGGAATTCCAAGATGCATTTAAACACTCAAAGCACTGAATGAATCTCTCTGCAGGTGATTCAGTGAGTCGCTGTGGTGAATGGTGTGGATCTTCTTACCTGCTCTGCGTCGTCTCTGTGTGTTTCAGATGATTTTAAAGTCTCTGTGTGCTTTTTCTACATCTCTGGGCTCTTAAAGCAGTGGTGCTGGACAGAAACGAGTGGATTGGACCAGAGGATGGTGATGTCACAGGTATTTAACATCAGCTGCTGGGTTTATTGAGGGATTGACTGAGATATGAGAGTCTCTGTGGATCAGGGTTATTCTGCGGCTCTATTGTCTTCTGGTGGAAGTAACAGGAGAGTAGTGGGTTATATGTAATCTGGATTACAAAATCAAGTATTTGTAATCACTCTAAATTACATGCTAAAAATGTTGGGTTACACACAATTTGTGTTGGGACAACATGAAGGAATTAAGTTAACTTATTAGCTAATACAAATTTGAGTGGATTAAACAAGTTGTCCCCAAAATTAATCAGGGATCATCACGTTGGAATGAACCACCTACTATTCCAGCATATGTTTTACACAGCGGATGCCCATCACTGGGAAATGGCAATATATTGTTGACAATTTTGCATATATTGTCATTTGCACTTATTGTTTAGATGAAATATTTGATGTCATGATGAAATTACTCTCAACTTTTCAATACTGTAATCAGGACTAGGCTTTAATGAAATACATGTAACAATGTCATATTTAAAAATTTAATTATAAGTAACTAATTCATAATAATATAACACCTCTGGGATCAGTTAAACTTATTAAAGAACATTTAAAGACAAATATTTTTGGCCAAGCTTTTAATTAACAATATGGAGAGCTGGTTTTACATTGGTGCCTCAGTACTTGGATTTTTAACCTGTTTTTATTGTATACAGCATAAATGTGATAAAAGTAATCTAAATGTAATCCAAAAGGAGTAAGATTACATTAGCATAAATTTAATCCAAAAGTAGTAAGATCAGATTAAAATAAATGAGTAATAAAAATAATGTTAAAACAATCCAAATGTAGTCAGATTACATTAGCATACATGTAATAAAAGTAATCTAAATGTAATCCAAAAGTAATAGATTATATTACCATAATATTGTAATAAAAATAATCTAAATGTAACCCATAAGTAGTGAGAATACATTACCATGAATGTGTAAACAAGTAATCCGAAAGTAGTGAGATTACATTACCATAAATGTATAACGAACATAATCTAAATGTAATCCAAAAGTAGTGAGAGTATATTAACATAAATGTGTAATAAATGTACTCCAAATGTAGTCAGATTACATTATCATAATAGTGTAATAAAAGTAATCTAAAAGTAATCCATAAGTAGTGAGATTACATTACCATAATTGTGTAATCAAAGTAATCTAAATGTCACACAAAAGCAGTTAGATTACGTTAGCATAAATGTAATCCAAAAGTAGTCCGATTACATTACCATAAGTGTTCAGTCTAACAGATTACATTACCGACTACAAACTTTGCTACGTAATTTGTAAACAGATTACATTTGATAAGTAATCCACCAATTTGACTCCAGATCAGCCAAAACATGCGACAGATCTGGATGTTTCTCCTTTTGTTTACCCGTTGGAGTCCTGAATTAACTCATAAATCATACATCAGTAAAGCTCCGGCTCTGGAGTTATGTTTCTGGGCTCATATGATGGTTATATCATGGCAACAGCAGTTCATTGTTAATAGAGCAGCTGTGAAATCCAGCAGCTGGTAAATTAGGTCAGACAGATCACATTACTGGAGAAATAACCACACACACACACACACACACACATCTCTTTCAAGCAATGATTGTATAGTTGTGCTAATATCCTAATTAGTGTGTCGGCATTAACATTAAAGGTGCTCACAGTGATCTGAGTTCAAGTCCCGGCTCTATATCTGCCTCTATTTAATTAAAAAACAATTATAAACAATGACTATATACATATAAACAAACAAGACATAACACTTTACAGTAAAAGATTCTTTGAATTGAAAAAAAACTGCAAAAATTAAACACATTTTTAATGTATTTGTCAATTTTGAGATTATAAAACTTTTTTTTATTTTAAGCCTAGAAAAAAACATCCAAAATACACCTAATATTGAATCTTTTAATTTTATTATTATTATTATTTTTAATTGTAATTTTTAAATTAATAATATTTTTTAATATATATTTTTGCAATTAATTATGATTTATTAGTTTTTTAGGGGGGGGGGTAGTCATATTTGTTTATTTATGCAATTAAAAATGTATAAAAGAAAAGGGCAACACTACAATAATCTTCGACTTTAATATAAAAAAGTTCATTTATTAATTTTGTTTTTGGCTTAGTCCCTATAATCATCAAGGGTTGCCACAGCGGAATGAACCACCAACATAGAATTATTCTCGCTGCACCCCAGTAATCCCCATACACACTCATTCTCTCACACACACTCATACACTACAGCTAATTTAGTTCATCCATTCCCCTATAGCGCTTGTGTTTGAACTGTGACGCGCCCTTCTTGCTGTGAGGCCACATCGCTAACCACTGCGCCACTGATCAATAAAATGTAAACAATCATTTTAAAAGTTACTTGAAATGTGTGCACATTCACACAAACTACATTTTAGATGGCTTGACATGAAAGGTAAAGTAACTAATATGTAATTAATATTGTAAAACTGATTTCTTCTGTGGTGTTTTCTAAAAACAAATGAAATACTTTAATGTAATGATGATAACCCTTTCCCAATATATAACCACTTCCCAACATTCTTCAAAATATCTTCTTTTGTGCTGAACAGAAGAAAGTAACTCAAACAGGTTTAGAACACAGTGAAGGGAGAGTAAATGTTGAGTAAATCTTCATTTTTGTGTGAACTGCCCCTTTAAATGAAGCTCCAGCGTGTGATGAAGCATGTCTGTATACAGACATGGAGCTGCTGACAGGCTTTAAGCAGATCACCACTTTCAGGATTGTGTTTGTGTGTTAAATATAGTCACCGAAAGTTCAAGGTGAGAGAGAGAGAGAGAGAGAGAGAGCTTTTGTTTGTGGTCAGTCTGTTTACTGCACTCTAAAGAAAATGCTGGGTTGTTTTAACACAACGTTGGGTCAAATACAGACAAACACATCATTGAGTTCATGTATTGTTCATGTCCCTTTATTCATCAGAGGTCACCACAGCGGCATGAACCGCCAACTATTCCAGCATATGTTTTACACTGCGGATGCCCTTCCTGGGAAACACCCACACACACTCATTCACACACTCATACACTACGGTCAGTGTAGTTGATCAGTTCCCCTATAGCGCATGTGTTTGGACTGTGGGGGAAACCGGAGCACCCGGAGGAAACCCACACCAACACGGGGAGAACATGCAAACTCCACACAGAAACACCAACTGACCCAGCCGGGACTCAAACCAGAGACCTTCTTGCTGTGAGGCCACAGTGCTAACTACTACGCCACCGTGCCACCCCTTCATTTATTTTGTTAAATTTAATTACAGTTTTCAACTCAACAGTTGTGTTTGTCCATATTTGACCCAATATTGGGTTAAAAACAGAATTGTTTAGAGTGTACTGACTTTTGCTGCATTTCACTACATAGGGGCTGATATATGAGTGGTAATTGATGGGGATTTTACACACACACACACACACACACACACACACACACACACACACACACTGTTATGTTACACATGTGCAGAAAGCACACTTTATCACAAACAAGAATGCTCATCAGCCAATCAGAATTGAGAATTGAGCAGCACTGGGGTTGCTAATGTAATTTAAATTTAAATATGGCCTTTCTCCTGTCCGAAATGTTGCATTAATGCATTTGTCAGACACTTCCATTCAATATTAATATTCATGTCCTGAAAATCAAACACATATTGACCCTGACTCTGTGGAAGTTTGCTTTCAGTGACAGATGTTCAGTGTCTCCATCTAGTGGCCTCATGTGAAACATGAAAATACTAAAGAAGATGATCATCACCGATGTTTTCTGTTTTACTTCAAATTAAAATGTGCATTTTAGAAGTAGTTTTCAATAACCTTCAAAAACACTACATATCAGTTGTCGTGTAAACAAAGAACACAAACATGTACAAATTTTAGTTATAAATAATAAAACGCCCCTGAGGTTTACATCAGAGCCCTGAAATCTCCGCCCCAGCTGATTGGACAGTATTTGCATAAACACACCCCTGAGTGCAGGATGAGTCATCAGAAATGTTGTTGTGTGTTTCCTCACCAAAAACAACATTAACAGCAGATCAGTAGCCAAGTCCAGTTCAACAAACGTCAATTTAATTTGGGCAACACATTTTCATTCACATCATAATGTTTGTGACAAAGATTTAACATCACTTTTAAAACTGTGTTTGAAAAAGGTAAATGTTGATTAATTTAATTTAAGTTTTGCACCATTTCTACAGAGGTCATGGTGAATGCAAATACAAAACTATTGCATTTAAAAACAAATGTTGCTACTGATGTTCTTCTATAATAGTGCTGTGATTCTGATCCTCGGTTGTTTATTCGCTCATCAGCTGGAGGTCTGCTCTAATGTTTGCTTGGTGGACTGTTTTGTATGATTTATTATTTTCAGTTACGTTTACATTTATTATGAAACGCCATTCCTGATTATTTATTTGCTTAGTTTGTAAACTTTTAAGTAGTTATGTAGTAATTCCTATAACCTCATGAGAGTTAGCCATGTGGATGCAATTCGAGCTATTGCCCTTTTAAAAACCCTCCTGATTCTGTTCTCCCCTCCGTTGATTAATGCTTGGAAAACAGTGAATGGAAAAATTAGTTTCATGCTTAACCCTTGTCTTAGAAATAGAAAGATTCGCCATCTTTTTCAGAAGGAAAAAACCTCTATTCCTCACGTCATTTTTCACTGGAATCATTTATTTCATGATATTCCTTGGCAGATCGTGTGCTCTTTACCCAACACATTCTTAATCACAAACAAGGTTAAAGAGGTCTCCTTCAAAATGCTCCATCAAGTTTATCCGGTGAATGTTTATATAAAAATGCTTCCTCAGGAGGATCCCCTAGTTCCTTTTGTGGAATAATAGATGAATCTGTCGATCCTCTTTTTGGGAATGAGCCCATGCTAAGATTTTTTTTTCTGAAAAAAAAAATCTGTTTATTTATATGTGCCTCTGTCTTTTAGATAATTCTTCTTTGTTTCACTCTAAAAACGTTGAGTTATTTATTTAACTCAATGGTTGAGTTAAATATTTGGTGCTTTGTTGGGTTATTTTTACCCTTTATTAGGTTAATTATATTATAACTCAAACAGCTGGTTTAAATATTTGAATTTCAACAGTCAACTGATTTAACTGACACAGCACAGCTGCATTAATATGCGTGTGTAATGCTGTTTTTGCGTTATAAAGTTTATTTAAGCTATAATGCAATAATGTTGTTGTTATTGTTTATCAATTTCCTCTCCCTGTCGTGTTTTTACATCCGTTTCACCATCCAAATCTTTTAGAAGCGTTTGGATATGGTTAAAATGTATTGTAGACACTGAACTGTGTGCTGTAGATCCAGCAGCTTCACTCAATTATATAACCCAATGCATTGAATAAAATAACCCATAGTTGGGAAGGTGCTATAATAACCTATAGTTGGGTTATATGTTGGGGTATTTTAACTATTTTAACACAGTACTCAATACAGCCGTTTGTCAGTTAAATCAGTTGACTGTTGAAATTCAAATATTTAACCCAGCTGGTTGAGTTATTAAATAAATATACCTCATAAAGGTTCTAATAACCCAACAAAGCACCAAATATGTTTAACTCATCCATTGGGTTAAATAAATAACTCAATGTGTTTTCGTGTACAGGATGTTTTATTTGGTTTTTATGTTGATAAAGTAAAATACATTTTCTAATAAATCTGTTTATTTTACTAGCAAAGTTTGTATACACAAATGCGAATTTTAGTCAGTAAAGCCTGTTTCTTATTTATTGTAAAGATTTGAAATGATATTTGGATACAATCCAGCAATGTTAAAGCTTTAAAATCAACAACACTGTGTGAATCTTACAGTCTTTTTTCTATACCCAGCGGACTGTGTGATATTGTAATATATTACCCCTGGCATATATATATATATATATATATATATATATATATATATATATATATATATATATATATATATATATATATATATATATATATATATATATATTATTTTCTCTCTTTTTGTTTTGCTTTGTTCTGTTGTTTATTTCTGTTGTTTTAGGATTTATCTTTTTAAGAGCGTTTTTCCGAAATAAAGCAATAAAGCCTAAATAACAGGCTAATTTAGAAAGAATGGATTAATATATGTTTAAGAGTGATTTAAAAAATGTAGAACAAGAAATGTACAATTTAAAATAAATAAGACAAAACGAAAACTGAACGAGTTAAATTGTATCGCAGAGCTCGCCAGAACCCAAACTTCACACACACTTCTGAAGAGTTTTACTACCGGTAATAAACCGTCTGATTCACAGGATGTGGACACACACACACACACACACACTCAGTCAGAAGTGTTTGATCGTGTGTGTGTGCATGTCTATCATGTTGAATCAGCATTTTCTGCGTGTGTGTGTGTTTGTGTGTGTGTTCCTCCGCTTCTCCAGCGCTGATGATGAAGATGATATTCCCGGTGCAGATCTCAGCGCGCTCCCGGTGTCTGATGGCATCGCGGCGGTGGAGTTCGGCAGCGCACGCTCGGTGTGTAAGCCGGTACCGAACACCATGGTGCTGTGCTTTGGCATCGGTTACCGGGAGATGCGGCTGCCGAACCTGCTGGAGCACCAGAGCGCGCGGGAGGCGCAGCAGCAGTCCGCCGCCTGGGTGCCGCTGATCGGGAAGCGCTGCCACCGGGACACGCGCCGCTTCCTCTGCTCGCTGTTCGCGCCAGTGTGTTTACCGGAGGTCCCGACTCCGGTGAGCCCGTGCAGGAATCTCTGCGTGGCGGTGCGGGACGCCTGTGCGCCCGTCATGAGCGCGTTCGGCTTCCCCTGGCCGGAGATGTTCAACTGCAGCCGGTTTACCGACGGACCCGAGCTCTGCATCCCCGGGGAGATAGACCCGCTCAGGGCCCCCACCACCCTCGCGCCCACAGGTAACACTTCATTAGTAGACATTTTTTCATTAACCAAACTATAATAAAGTAATTGGTGATTCATTCCGCTGTGAAGACCTCTCAGAGACCGAAGTGGGTATAAAGTGTAGGCTACTTCACAACTCTTTGTTAATGAATGCTCCAGTAGCCTTTAAGGGTTTTTGCATCCTCTTTGACCCCTTTTTTACCATGCTATTGTGAAGAAACTGACGGTTCATTCCGCTGTGGCGACCACTCGATACAGGCACTAACCAATATGGCGCCCTGTAGCAGTAAATTCCACTGCTAGTGTACATATAAGAAACGTATTAGCTTTGTCTTATAGATTCTGATATCTAAACAACGCAAATGTACATTCAAAATACTCAGAGAGACGTGTTTGCAACTGTGTCCCCTTTAGGCTCCATAAGCTAGTGGAAAAGGTCGCTGTAAAGCATTATGAGATGCTTTATGAGATGAGATGCGAGATTGCATGTTCATAGCCCTAAATCAGAAAAAGTCAAGCAATTTCATGAAAAAAAAATAGGTTAACTGGCATATTCGACAAGTCAAAAAAATCTAAATCAGGTGAATCTGACCCTAGCAAAATATGAAGATTAATCAACATAGATAATAAAAAAACAACCAAATATTCAGATTTTTTGTTTGGATTTTAATGGTCTGATTGCTCATATTTTATTTGATTCACTTTAATTCTTAATAAGATGTTGCACTGTTGTGTTTTACTGTCCTGTAATGTCATAACAAAGCTGTTAATTAACTTATTTAACACTGAAGAGTGGGAATTTTATGACTGAATGACATGTGGTTTTAGCTCAAAGATTGAGGAACACTTGTCTCGTGTGGGGGAAGTTGCAATGGAAATAGATGCTACTGGATCATATCAACTCACCACAAAAGAGCTGCAATTCGGGGCTAAACATAAAATGATGTAGAGTTCACCCCAAAATTAATATTTTATTTACCCTCACCCTCCACTTCTTTTTACATCTTTTTCCTTTGTTGAACACGAAAGAAGATACTTTGAAGAATGGGGGAAACCACATACTGACTCCCATACTATTATTATTTTTAGTTTTTTCTACTATGGATGTCAGAGGCTACCATTTTCCGACATTCTTCAAAATATCTTCTTTTATGTTCAACAAAAGAACCACAAAAAATGTATGAGTCAAAAACAATGAATGAGTCGGTCTAAAACACAGCAGATACCATAATTCTCATTCAATCACTCATTTTCTTTTCGGCTTAGTCTCTTTATTTATCTCAGGTCGCCACAGCAGAATGAATCGTCAACTATTCCAGCATATGTTTTACACAGTGGATGCCCTTCCAGCTGCAACCCAGTACTGGGAAACACCCATACACACACTCATACACTACAGCCAGTTTAGTAGATCAGTTCCCCTATAGCGCATGTGTTTGGACTGTGGGGGAAACCGGAGCACCTGGAGGAAACCCACGCCAACACGGGGAGAACATGCAAACTCCACACAGAAACTGAATTAAATGAATAGGCTACTCCTGCAAAGGACTTCCTCAATGATCTTAGCGTATCACTCCAGTTGTGTCTTTGAGTTACAGTTACATTTCTGTTATTTATTTAGAATATTAATCGCATAATAATAATAATTATAACACTTTTATTTAAAATAAATCTAAATATTTGTATATGTTTATTTATAACAAATATTATCAATAAATGGGGTTTTTGAGAAGAGGCCATGGGACTGGTCCACTGCTAAAGACAGTGATGACATCAGAATACATCAATATGCATAATTCTGAATCATTTCTAAATGAATTATGAGATGATTAATCATGCTCCACACGTACTCTTGCACTCTGTCATTGACTACATATAAATAGACTGTTTTCAAATCAAATATGAGTCATTATCAGATTCTCTCCTGCATATTCAGCATGTAGAGCAGATATATATATGCTGCCACTCACTCACCATCAGTAATGTTTATTCTCACACAGAAGACTCACACTGCGGACACAGGCATAGTCAATCTCTCCGATGTCTCTCATCAAAATATTACTGGACATTAATTTTTACACAAAAGAAAGTGAATGCAGATGTGTTTATATTGTTAGGCGAAATTATTATTATTATTATTATTATTATTATTATTATTATTATTAGTAGTAGTAGTAGTAGTAGTAGTAGTAGTAGTAGTAGGCTTTGCACTATGCAGATTAATTAATGTGTGTTTATTCCTTTCTGAAGTAATACCATAGTTTTAGGAATAGTGGAAGCAACTTTTTTTTTCTTCCCTCATTTCTGGCGCCCCCTGGATGTACGGCGCCCTCAGCATTTGCCTATACTGTCTATGCCCTGCGGCCACTGATAAATCAGGGAGTAAGCAGAGCTTGTGCTTGTGATCAGTCTGTTTACTGCACTCCAATAATGCTGGGTTGTATTAACACAACGTTGGGTCATATTGTTGGCTTCATTTATTTTTGTTCACTCATTTTCTTTCGGCTTAGTCCCTATATTCATCAGTGGTCGCCACAGCGGAATGAACCACCAACTATTCCAGCATATATTTCACACAGCAGATGCCTTTCCAGCCATCCGCTTCATAAAACATGTGCTGGATAAGTTGGCGGTTCTTTCCACTGTGGCGACCCCTGATGAATATAGGGACTAAGCCGGAGGAAAATGAATGAGTGAATGCCCTTCCTGCTGCAACCCAGTACTGGGAAACACCCAAACTACACAACTGTATATATTCACACAGAAAGCAGCTGATGAATTAGCAAAACTATTTCACTGTTTTTGAAGGCTCTGAGATCTGTGAGGCCTGTAGTGCAGACGGAGACGGAGAGCGAGAGATCCTGCAGGAGTTCTGCACGGCTCAGTTCGGTGAGAAACTGTCCAATTGTGTGTGTGTGTGTGTGTGTGTAGATTTTTGTAGATGCTGTGATTTGTTTACCAAAACTATTGTTCGCCAACTAAGGTCACAAGTTCCATCATTACAAGCACAGTTTGTTGATTTGCCGTTTCCCAAATCCGTTGCTCCAACGAACATTCACAAACTGTGTCGCAAACTTGAGCACTCGCAGCTACACCTCTGGAGCTGTAGTTCAAAACAAAGGTCCTGGCTGTGTTCTATTCCCACTTATCCCCCCTATGCGCTATTCATTTACAAAGTTGGAATTATGAAAAGGAATAAAGCATTAAGCTCATCTCTCTTAGCTGTAGTTTGCTTTCAAACTGTTTTTAGTTCAGTTTTAGCGATCTTTTTTGTGCTCCCTTCGCAGTGCACTTTAAAGACATTGATGTCATTTTGAACGCAGCCTCATGACGAAAGCTATAGGTGACCTGTTATTTAAAAGCGGAATATATGTTGCGTCTCCAAAGCTTGTGAAAACAAAAAGCACACACTCTAAAAACGTTGAGTTATTTATTTAACCCAATGGTTGAGTTAAACATATTTGGTGCTGTGTTGGGTTATTTCTACCCTTTATTTATAATTAACTCAACCAGTTGGGTTAAATATTTGAGTTTCAACAATCAACAGATTTGGCTGAGAGAACTGACCCAAAACAGCTGTTAACATGCGTGCACAATGCTGTTTTATTGCTATCCGCTTGTTAAGTGATGACGTGTTTGTGACGTATGTATACTGTTTCCGGGTCCATTCATTTGAGTGGAGAAATCATTCGTTTATGTTCACGTTTTATTCTTATCACACATTAAAGTTAATTGTATATAAAGTCATAGTGTACACAACAATCTCTGGGCTTGCTGCATAACAAATACCAAAAATTTATCAATTTATAAAAAAAATTATCACTTTCTGGCCATTGGATATTAGGCATGGACATATATACTGTGATCGTGACTTTTGAAAGTATTAAATGGCTTTGTAAACGTTTATTGTTACCATTTCATGAGTCTCCCCAGTCAGTTGAATAGAGCGCTTGGACCCGGAAGCCGCTTCACGTGACGTCTCACTTAACAAGCGGATATCGCAATAATATTGTTATTTTTTATCAAATGACCTCTCCGTGTCGTGATTTTTAGATCCGCTTCGCCATCCAGGACCATCTTTTAGAAGCGTTTGGATGAGGTTCAAATGTACTGTATTGTGGACATTTTAATTCTAAAATGAACAGTAGTAATAGTGATACCAGAATGGAAAGAAATAATATTTAATCAAAATAACCCAATTAAACTATACAACCCAATGCATTAGGCTGAAATAACCCATAGTGGGGAAGGTGCTAATAACCTATAGTTGTGTTATATGTCGGGGTATTTTTAACTTATGTTAATTCTTTTCGTTTATAGCAGGTTATTTATTAGGTATCTGTACTGTATATGACATGGGCCTGCTGGCTGGAACTTTCTGCTGTGTCATTGTAAAAGTAGACTTTAAAAAATAAACAAATAAACAACTTCATACTTAATAATAATATTAAAAGCAATAATAATAAAGGTGAGGCAGTGGCGCAGTAGGTAGTGCTGTCGCCTCACAGCAAGAAGGTCGCTGGGTTGCTGGTTCGAAACTTGGCTCAGTTGGTGTATCTGTGTGGAGTTTGCATGTTCTCCCTGCCTTCTTGTGGGTTTCCTCCGGGTGCTCCGGTTTCCCCCACAGTCCAAACACATGCGGTACAGGTGTATTGGGTAGGCTAAATTGTCCGTAGCGTATGAGTGTGTGTGTGTGTGTGTGAATGAGTGTGTGGATGTTTCCCAGAGATGGGTTGCGGCTGGAAGGGCATCTGCTGCGTAAAAACTTGCTGGATAAGTTGGCGGTTCATTCTGCTGTGGCGACCCCGGATTAAAAAGGGACTAAGCCGACAAGAAAATGAATGAATGAATGAATGAACAATAATCATCATCATCATCATCATCATCAATACGATTAATATTATTATTAAAGTATGATTTTTTCATTTCTATTACATAATAATTATTAAATGTCATTTCTTGATAAATGGCTTCATTATTTATTTATTTATTTATATGATTTATTTATGATATTAGAATGCGTGTGAGCTTTTGTAAGTGGTTTTATGTTTTAGATTATGATATGTCATTCTCACTCATATTTGTAAAGCAGACAGGCCCTGTATGTGCCATATATTTCAGCTAATATGGAGAGCCAGTGCGTGTTTCTACCAAATCTAATATTGGGTTTTATTTTAAATGTGTGTGTGTGTGTAAAACAATATCATTTGCACTATAAATGATGGGTTCTTTTCTGAAGAAGTTGTTACTCCACCCAGTTTAGAGTGTCGTTATGAGCGTTTTACGTTATAAATAACGTGGTTCAAGCGAAGGATCTGCGACAGAAACTATGCGTTTGGGAAACACTCGTCACTACATCACTCTTTTCCCAAACAATGCAGCGTGCCATGATAGTTGAGCTCAGAGTTACGTCATTGTTTGGGAAACTCCACACCCCATAACCCCATAAGCATCTTTTAAAGGTGCAGTGTGTAATTATAGCCACTAGACAACAAGCACAGGTGTTCAATCAAGGTTTTTGCTGCTGTACCATGACTGCAAGTGGAGGAGTGATATTATACAGCACCTGAAAATAGTGCCCAGCTAACAGAACTAACTAACAGACCTGCGTATTAAGGCTGATTTTTTATTCTTATCAGACCCTCCAGCATTTTGCCATCGCCGAATTGTCACAAAATTTTGTGGAGTATTTTTAATATTGCTGCAGACTTCATTGCAGTGTGTTCACTAAATGTGCACGCGTGTGTGTGTGTGTGTGTGTGTGTGTATGCAGTGGTCCGGCTGCGGGTGGGCTCCTGCTCAGTGATTGGCTCCGACCTCCGTGTATTCCCAGAGGGTCGCAGTCGAGTGCTCCGCCAGCAGGATCCCCAGGCTGCGCTGGAGCTTAGGGTGCTCTGGCTGCCCCAGGCCCTCCACTGCTCCTGTCCTGCTCTGGACGGGCCCCTGACCAGCACCTACATCATCCTGGGGCACACACACAGCGGACGCATGCAGATACACAGAATCCTGCGCTGGACACGAGACGAGAAAACACTGAAGAAACTCATCAGGACTCTGCTGAAGACACAGTGCTGAGTGCAGGAGAACAACACCTTCTTAAAGAGACAGTACACTCAGATATATAAACTTCAGGCAACACCCACATTAAAGGGACAGTACACTTATATAGTCATGTTCTTAAAGGGGCAGTACACGCAAAATATATACATTCTGCCATAATATAGTCATCTTCTTAAAGGGACAGTGCACTCATGTTGTCATCTTCTTAAAGGGACAGAACACTCATGTAGTCATCTTCTTAAAGGGACAGTACACTCATGTTGTCATCTTCTTAAAGGGACAGTGCACTAATATAGTCATCTTCTTAAAGGGACAGTGCACTCATGTAGTCATCTTCTTAAAGGGACAGTACACTCATGTTGTCATCTTCTTAAAGGGACAGTACACTCATGTTGTCATCTTCTTAAAGGGACAGTACACTCATGTAGTCATCTTCTTAAAGGGACTGTACACTCATGTAGTCATCTTCTTAAAGGGACAGTGCACTAATATAGTCATCTTCTTAAAGGGACAGAACACTCATGTAGTCATCTTCTTAAAGGGACAGTACACTCATGTAGTCATCTTCTTAAAGGGACAGTACACTCATGTAGTCATCTTCTTAAAGGGACAGAACACTCATGTAGTCATCTTCTTAAAGGGACAGTACACTCATGTAGTCATCTTCTTAAAGGGACAGTACACTCATGTAGTCATCTTCTTAAAGGGACAGTGCACTCATGTAGTCATCTTCTTAAAGGGACAGTACACTGATGTAGTCATCTTCTTAAAGGGACAGTACACTCATTATATATACATTCTGCCTTTATATAGTCATGTTTTTAAAGGAACAGTATATGCAAAAATATTCATTCTGCTATAATACAATCACGTTCCTAAAGGGACAGTACACTCAGAAATATACAATCTGCCATAATATAGTTATGTTCTTAAAGAGACAGTACACACAAAAATACAGATTCTACTATAAAATAGTCAGCTTCCGAAAGAGGAAGAATAATATTGATACTATTGATATTATATTGAAGAAATTTTATTTCTATAATTATATATATATATATATATATATATATATATATATATATATATATATAATAAAATTATAGAAATGATCAAATTTATACTGGAATCCTAACCATAAATAAAATAAAACACATTATACATAAAATAAAAAATCTAAAAATACAATAAAACAACTTGTAAAAATAATAATGACATAATGAAAACATTCAATTAGAATAATAAAATATAATGATGTAATACTTGAATTTAAGCTTTTTTTTTGCAATGCTTTTTTATTTTATTTTTAAAATTTTGTCTATTATACTGCGTAATATCCAAATCTAAAGCTGTTTCTATTCACCAGGCTGCCTGTGTTTTGAACATCTGTACTCTACTTCTATAAGTGCCATTAAAGAACACTTTTTAATGAGTCATTTAGTTGTTTGTCACTCTGCGTGTGAATATCCGCCGGCATGATGAATATATGATGAGCTGCTGTGGTCACATGACACTCCAGGTGAAATGGAGGCTCAGGTGCTCAATAATTATTCATGAGGAGGAATCTGATTGGCTGCTGGAGCCCGTGTCTCTGCACACCTGTCTCAGTGTGTGTTTTCTGTCGTCTCTGAGCTCCGTCATCCTCAGGTCTGTATTCCACTATTATAAATGATGATGCTGTATTCTGTGTGTTTGTGTCAATTAAATGACCTGGGATCAGCTGAGAGCGTGTCTTCAGCTACATACAGTCTTCTGTCATGTCACTGAGAAAGATCATGGGTTGTGAATGTGTTACTGTGTGGTCGCTAGGGTGTTCTGTTGATGTTGCTCAGGTGGTTTGGATTTGTTTAGGGTATTCCTATGTGGTTGCTAGGGTGTTCAGGGTGTTTAGTATGTTGCTATGGGGTTACTATAGTGTTTAAGTGTGTTGTTATGTGATTGCTAAGATATTATGGGTGTGTTTAGAGTGTTGCTATGTAATTGCTAAGGTGTAAAGGGTTGTGTTCAGTTACATACAATCTTCTGCCATGTCACTGAGATCTTGTGCTGTGGATGTGTTGCCATTTAGTCGCTAAGATGTTCTGTGTGTGTTGCTATTAGGCTCCTTAGATGTTCTGAATGTGTGTCAGGTATTCCTATGTGGTTGCTATGGTGTTTTAGGTGTTCAATGTGTTGCTATGTGGTTTATAGGCTGTTCTGGGTGTGTTTAGTCTGTTGCTATGTGGTTACTATGGTGTTTTTGTGTGATTGCCAAGGTGCTTTGGGTGTGTTAAGAGTTTTCCTGTGGTGTATTATTTTGTTGCTATGTGATTGATGGTGTATCTGGAGTGTTGCTATGTTGTGTTTAGTGTGTTGCTATGTGATTTATAGGGTGTTCTGTGTGTTTGTTTAACGTGTTTCTATGTGGTTGCTAGGGCGTTTTGGGTTTTGTTTAAATGTGTTGCTATGCAGTTGCTAGGTTGTGCTGGGTGTTTCCATCACTCATTGATAAAATGCTTTAGTTTCTTAACCAGAAGCAGAAATGTGTGTTGCTGTGCAGACGATGGGGTGTGTTAAAAGTGTTTCTATATGGTTGCTAAGTATTTTTACTGTCTTGCCATGTGGTTGCTACAGTGTTCTGAGTGTTTAGTGTGTTGCCATGGCGTTTAAGTGTGTGTCTATGTGGTTGCTAGGGTTTTTAGATGTGTTTTATGTGTTGATATGTGGTTGCTACAGTGTTCTGGGTTTGTTTAGTGTTTTCTATGTGGTTGCTATGGTGTTCCAAGTGTTTAGTTAGTTGCCATGGTGTTTTAGTGTGTTTCTATGTGGTTGCTAGGGTTTTTGGATGTGTGTTATGTGTTGCTATGTGGTTGTTACAGTGTTCTGGGTTTGTTTAGAATTTTTATATGTGATTGTTAGGGTGTTTTGAGTGTTTAGTATGTTGCCATGGTGTTTTAGTGTGTTTTAATGTGCTTGCTAGGGTTTTTTGAGTGTTTAGTGTGTTGCCATGGTGTTATGGTGTGTTTCTATGTGGTTGCTAGGGTTTTTGGATGTGTGTAATGTGTTGATATGTTGTCGCTACAGTGTTCTGGGTTTGCTTACTGTTTTTCTATGTGGTTGCTATGGTTTTCCAAGTGTTTAGTTAATTGCCATGGTGTTTTAGTGTGTTTCTATGTGGTTGCTATGGCTTTTGGATGTGCGTTATGTGTTACTATGTGGTTGTTACAGTGTTCTGGGTTTGTTTAGAATTTTTATATGTGATTGTTAGGGTGTTTGAGTGTTTAGTGTGTTGCCATGGTGTTTTAGTGTGTTTCAATGTGGTTGCTAGGGTGTTCTTGGTGTTTCTGTACTGTTTATAGTGTATTGGATCTTCTAATATGTGAAAGTGACTGAAGCTTCTGCTTGTTATTGTGTGTATTGCAGGTCAGTGTTGAAGATGGTATCTCCTGCGATCGCCTTGGCTTTTCTTCCTCTTTTACTCACTCTGATTATCCGTTACCGTTATTACTTTGTGCTGCTGTATCGAGCGGTGCTGACCCGCTGGGTGCGGGACTGTTTATCGGGCATCAGTCGAGAGGAACGGGCCTTTCAGTACATACTTACCCACGCAACACCTGGAGACTCGCAGAGCATCCTGGACACCTTCGACACGTGGTGCAGTAAAGTGGAGTTCATCAGCAACATCGGGCCCAAAAAAGGTGCAAACACCATGGAAGACACAAACAACACCCAGAAAAACGCTTAAAAGCATTCAGAACACCATACAAACACCCAAAACACCCAGAAAAGTTTAGAAAACATACACATAACACATGGAAAACCATAGAAAACACTAGAAAACAAGCAACAATACCACCCACAAAAAAACTAGAAAACACCTGTAATATACTAAGAATATCATAGACTAGAAAACACATAGGGAACATCCTAAAACACCCAGTAAATACCTGGAAAAGTATACCCTAGAAAACACACAAACAACACTCAGAATATATTGAATAGCACCTGGAGCAGACTAAAACACCCTAGAAACCATTTACAAAACACAAAGTACAAAACCTCAAGAAAACACACAAACACTACACAAAACACTCTAGAAAACACCTTGAGTTCACATAGAGCATCCTAGAAAACATAAACGACACTCTAAAAACACATAGAAAACACACAAACACCTTACAGAACACCCTAGAAAACACCTGGAACACACTAAGAAAACTTAAAAAAAAAACAAACAAAGAAACCCCAGGAACTGCCTAAAAACACTGTAGAAAACACCTGGAACACACTAAAAAACCCTTAAAAACATGAGTGACACTAAAACACCTACAAAACACACAAACACCATACAGAAAATCCTAGAAAACACTAAGAACACTCTAGAAAACATAAAAAACACGGTGGAAACACAGAAAACACTCAAAAATCATACAGAACACCCTAGAAAACACATGGAATACACTAAGAACACTCAAAAAGACCTGAAATACTATAGAAAACTGAACACTTTACCATAGATATATCAGAACAGCCTATAAAACACAAGAAAAACATTAAAACACAAAAACCTGGAACACACACAAAAAAACACAGACCACACACACACTGCACACTGTAAACCACTGCATCTATGTCTTAATATAAAGTTTGTGATTAAGTCTCTGAGTGCTGAACTGTGTGTGTTCAGGGAAGATTCTGGACCGTCTGCTGCAGGAGAACTGCCCGATCACTGTGCTGGAGCTGGGCACTCACTGCGGTTACAGCACTGTCCGCATGGCCCGCTCACTGCCCATTGGTGCCCGCATTTACTCTGTCGAGATGGACCAGAGGAACGCCCAGGTGGCAGAGAAGATCATTCGACTCGCAGGATTCGATGACGATATGGTGAGTTAGGGCAATATTGTGTCACATCCTTAACTTATTTCTAACACCTGGAACACCAACAACGCACAAACACCCTAGAAAACAACACATAGAGCACACTAGAAAATACACAAAAACAACTGGAACACCTTCAAAAACAAACAAGAGCACTCTTGAAAATTAACAAAACACCCGGAACACACTAGAAAACACACAGAACGCCATAGAAAATACCCAGAAAACACACAGAACACCAAAGCACACAAACAGCTCCAGGAACACCCTAGAAAACACAAAAAACACTCAGAACAACACACAAAAACACTTTAAAAAACACACAAAACTCTGTAGGAACAGGCAAACAACCCCCAAAACACACAAAAAACAACTGGAACACACTAGAAAACAAACAAAAACACAAAGAACACCTTAAAAAACAAACAAACAAAACAAAAAACATCCAGAACACACTATAAAAGCACACCATAAAAACACATGAAACACCCTAATGACACACAAACTAACACCCTAGAAACTACACAGAACACCCTAAAAACTCAAAAACACCCTATCAAAACACAAACAACAACCTGAACACCCTAGAAAACAACACATTGAAAAAACACTTTAATAATACACAAAAACACCGTAATGAAACACAAACAAAACTGGGAACATCCTAGAAAATGCACAATCACAACAAGGACCACCTTAAGAAAGAAACAAAAACAACCGGAACACCCTGATAAGACACAAATAACACTCAGAACACCCAAAACACTCTAACAACACACAAACTACACTCAGAACACCCTAGACAATTTATAAAAACAGCTGGAACACCCTAACAACACACAAACAACACCCAGAACACCCAAAACACTCTAACAACACACAAACAACACTCAGAACACCCAAAACACCCTAACAACACACAAACAACACCCAGAACACCCAAAACACTCTAACAACACACAAACAACACCCAGAACACCCAAAACACTCTAACAACACACAAACAACACTCAGAACACCCAAAACACCCTAACAACACACAAACAACACCCAGAACACCCAAAACACCCTAACAACACACAAACAACACTCAGAACACCCAAAACACCCTAACAACACACAAACAACACTCAGAACACCCAAAACACCCTAACAACACACAAACAACACTCAGAACACCCAAAACACCCTAACAACACACAAACAACACTCAGAACACCCAAAACACCCTAACAACACACAAACAACACTCAGAACACCCAAAACACCCTAACAACACACAAACAACACTCAGAACACCCAAAACACCCTAACAACACACAAACAACACTCAGAACACCCAAAACACCCTAACAACACACAAACAACACTCAGAACACCCAAAACACCCTAACAACACACAAACAACACTCAGAACACCCAAAACACCCTAACAACACACAAACAACACTCAGAACACCCAAAACACCCTAACAACACACAAACAACACTCAGAACACCCAAAACACCCTAACAACACACAAACAACACTCAGAACACCCAAAACACCCTAACAACACACAAACAACACCCAGAACACCCAAAACACCCTAACAACACACAAACAACACTCAGAACACCCAAAACACCCTAACAACACACAAACAACACTCAGAACACCCAAAACACCCTAACAACACACAAACAACACTCAGAACACCCAAAACACCCTAACAACACACAAACAACACCCAGAACACCCAAAACACCCTAACAACACACAAACAACACTCAGAACACCCAAAACACACAAACAACACACAAACAACACTCAGAACACCCAAAACACACAAACAACACACAAACAACACTCAGAACACCCAAAACACACAAACAACACACAAACAACACTCAGAACACCCAAAACACCATAACAACACACAAACAACACCCAGAACACCCAAAACACCCTAACAACACACAAACAACACTCAGAACACCCAAAACACACAAACAACACACAAACAACACTCAGAACACCCAAAACACCCTAACAACACACAAACAACACTCAGAACACCCTAAAAACACACAAAAACACTCAGAATACCCTATAAAACAAACAGAACACCATAACAACACACAAACAACACCCAGAAAACACATAAAAACACCTGGAACACCTTGATTAGACACAAACAACACTCGTAACACTCTAGACAAACATGTAAACATCTGGAACACCCTAACAACACACAAAAAACACCCGAAACACCCTAACAACACACAAACAACACCACCAACATAACGAAAGGGCAGTAAGTTTGATCAATACATGAGGGTTAACTTGTATTTGTGTATGTTTCAGGTGGAGCTGATCCAGCGTCCATCTGATGAAGTGATCCCGCGTCTGCGTGAGGATCTGGGCGTGGAGCGTCTGGATCTGGTGCTGATGGACCACTGGAAGCGATGTTACCTGCCTGATCTGCATCTGCTGGAGGACAGCGGTCTGATCGGCCAGGGCTCCATCATCCTGGCCGATAACGTCATCTTCCCCGGAGCACCCAATTTCCTGCGCTACGCCCGGCGCTGCGGCCTGTATGAGGTTAGAGTTCATCGCGCCACGCTGGAGTACATGCGCGGCATCCCCGACGGCATGGCGGAGCTCACTTACATCGGCATCAAGTAAATAGTAATCATCATTGCTCACATTTATATGGCGCTTTTCTGGACACTCAAAGCGCTTTTGTGGGGGAATATCAATGTCATCCAAAGAACATTAGTGAAGAGATGACCTTATAAACCCGTAACAGCATGGTGTCACTAATAAGACTCATCATCAAGTAAAAATTGCAACACTTGAGGTTTTTTGAGGTTTTGATTAGAAAGATAATAAATAGAAATTCACAATGTTCATTTTTGAAATGCATTTGTAATTTGATGACGTTTGTAAAGAAATCACACATAAGAAAACACACAAAAACACGCAGAACACCCTAACAACACAAAAACAGCCAGAACACCCTAGAAAACATTAAAAAACACCCGGACAACCCTAACAACACACAAACAACACCTGGAACACCCTAGAAAACACATTAAAACACCTGGAAGACCCTAACAACACACAAACAACAACCAAAACATGCTAGAAAACACAAATAAACACCCGGAAAACCCTAACAACACACAAAACTCCCCAGAAAACCTTAGAAAACACCCATAAAACCTTAGAAAACACCCATAAAACACTCATAACACCCTAACAACACACAAACAACACCCAGAAAACACACAGAAACAATCGGAACACCCTTAAAAACAAAAAACAATCAGAATACCCTAAAAACACACAAACAACACTTGAACACCCTTACAACAAACAACACCCAGAACATCCTAGGAAACATAAAGAAACACCCCAACAACACACAAACAACACCTGGAACACCACAAAAACACTCTGAACACCTTAACAACACCTGGAACAACCTAGAAAACATACAGAAACACCAGAAACACGCATAAAAAGATGCAAAAACACTGTGAACACCCTAAAAACACACAGAAACACCCACAACACCCTGACAACACACAAACAACACCTGGAACACCACAAAAACACTCTGAACACCTTAACAACACACAGAAACACTCACAACACCTTAACAACACACAAACAACACACGGAACACCCTTACAACAAACAAACAACACATAGAACACCCTAAAAACACACAGAAACACCATAAACACCCTGACAACACACAAACAGCACCTTAACAACACACAAAAACACCCACAACACCACACAAACAACACCCTTACAAAAAACAAAAAACACCCAGAACACATTAGGAAACATACAAAACCACAGGGGAAACCCCCAATAACACAGAAACACCCTGAACACACTAATAATACACAAACAACACCAGAAACACACAAACAACACCTGGAACACCACAAAAACACCTTAACAACACATAAAAACACCCAAAACACCCTAACAACACATAAACAGCACATGGAACAGAACAAAAACACTCTGAACACCTTAACAACACACAGAAACACTCACAACACCTTAACAACACACAAACAACTCCCGGAACACCCTTGCAACAAACAAACAACACCAAGAACACCCCAAAAAAGATGCAAAAACACTGGGAACTCCCTAATGACACAGAAACAACCTGAACACCCTAACAACACCTGGAACACCACAAAAAACCCTCAACACCTTAACAACACCCGGAACAACCTTACAACAAACAACACCCAGAACACCCTAGAAAACACACAGAAACACCCCAAAAAAGATGCAAAAACACTGGGAACACCCCAATAACACAGAAACACCCTGAACACCCTAATAACACACAAACAACACCTGGAACACCACAAAACACTCTGAACACCTTAACAACACACAGAAACACCTGAAACACCCTTACAACACACAAACAACACCCTAGGAAACCTACAGAAACGCCAGAAACACCCAAAAAAAAAGATGCAAAAACACGGGGAACACCCTAACAACACACAGAAACACCCTAACAACACACAAACAACACCCAGAACACCCAAACACCCTAACAACACACAAACAACACCCAGAACACCCAAAACACTCTAACACACAAACAACACTCAGAACACCCAAAACCCCCTAACAACACACAAACAACACTCAGAACACCCAAAAACCCTAACAACACACAAACAACACTCAGAACACCCAAAAACCCTAACAACACACAAACAACACTCAGAACACCCAAAACACCATAACAACACACAAACAACACCCAGAACACCCAAAACACCCTAACAACACACAAACAACACTCAGAACACCCAAAACACACAAACAACACACAAACAACACTCAGAACACCCAAAACACACAAACAACACACAAACAACACCCAGAACACCCAAAACACTCTAACAACACACAAACAACACTCAGAACACCCAAAACACCCTAACAACACACAAACAACACCCAGAACACCCAAAACACTCTAACAACACACAAACAACACTCAGAACACCCAAAACACCCTAACAACACACAAACAACACCCAGAACACCCAAAACACTCTAACAACACACAAACAACACTCAGAACACCCAAAACACCCTAACAACACACAAACAACACCCAGAACACCCAAAACACTCTAACAACACACAAACAACACTCAGAACACCCAAAACACCCTAACAACACACAAACAACACCCAGAACACCCAAAACACTCTAACAACACACAAACAACACTCAGAACACCCAAAACACCCTAACAACACACAAACAACACCCAGAACACCCAAAACACTCTAACAACACACAAACAACACTCAGAACACCCAAAACACCCTAACAACACACAAACAACACCCAGAACACCCAAAACACTCTAACAACACACAAACAACACTCAGAACACCCAAAACACCCTAACAACACACAAACAACACCCAGAACACCCAAAACACTCTAACAACACACAAACAACACTCAGAACACCCAAAACACCCTAACAACACACAAACAACACCCAGAACACCCAAAACACTCTAACAACACACAAACAACACTCAGAACACCCAAAACACTCTAACAACACACAAACAACACCCAGAACACCCAAAACACTCTAACAACACACAAACAACACTCAGAACACCCAAAACACCCTAACAACACACAAACAACACCCAGAACACCCAAAACACTCTAACAACACACAAACAACACTCAGAACACCCAAAACACCCTAACAACACACAAACAACACCCAGAACACCCAAAACACTCTAACAACACACAAACAACACTCAGAACACCCAAAACACCCTAACAACACACAAACAACACCCAGAACACCCAAAACACTCTAACAACAACAACAACACTCAGAACACCCAAAACACCCTAACAACACACAAACAACACCCAGAACACCCAAAACACTCTAACAACACACAAACAACACTCAGAACACCCAAAACACCCTAACAACACACAAACAACACCCAGAACACCCAAAACACTCTAACAACACACAAACAACACTCAGAACACCCAAAACACCCTAACAACACACAAACAACACCCAGAACACCCAAAACACTCTAACAACACACAAACAACACTCAGAACACCCAAAACACCCTAACAACACACAAACAACACCCAGAACACCCAAAACACTCTAACAACACACAAACAACACTCAGAACACCCAAAACACCCTAACAACACACAAACAACACCCAGAACACCCAAAACACTCTAACAACACACAAACAACACTCAGAACACCCAAAACACCCTAACAACACACAAACAACACCCAGAACACCCAAAACACTCTAACAACACACAAACAACACTCAGAACACCCAAAACACCCTAACAACTCACAAACAACACCCAGAACACCCAAAACACCCTAACAACACACAAACAACACTCAGAACACCCAAAACACCCTAACAACACACAAACAACACCCAGAACACCCAAAACACTCTAACAACACACAAACAACACTCAGAACACCCAAAACACCCTAACAACACACAAACAACACCCAGAACACCCAAAACACTCTAACAACACACAAACAACACTCAGAACACCCAAAACACCCTAACAACACACAAACAACACCCAGAACACCCAAAACACCCTAACAACACACAAACAACACTCAGAACACCCAAAACACCCTAACAACACACAAACAACACCCAGAACACCCAAAAACCCTAACAACACACAAACAACACCCAGAACACCCAAACACCCTAACAACACACAAACAACACTCAGAACACCCAAAACACTCTAACAACAC